AGTACTGATACAGTCAAACAGCTTCTTGGAAACTTCATAATCTGGCACACTTGTAGATGCTGTAAATATCAGTGGTATTCGAAAAAAAACATTTCTCACTCCTGGGGGAGAGTTGTCTATATCTTTCCTGGAAACTGTAACTTCTTTGCACTCGGGGATAGTTGAGAGAATGCTGGAAATTGCGTTAAAAAGACCGTTAAACGTTCTTTTGGTGTTACTTATGGTGCTACTTGTGAGACCTCCCTGGATTTGATAGTGAAATGTGATGTCGACCTCGTAACATCTTTTCACATCGTAGTTAGCAATCAGTGAAGCATCTGAAATCACAGGAAAAAACGTAGAATTTGTTTAAAATGACCAATTACAACATACAATAGACTCTTGTTTACATACATTTTTTTCTTGTCTTTATCTTAGTTCTTAAAACAAGAAATTATTCATCGCCGGTGGGGATGTATTTTTGGGGTCACATGGTTTTCAGGGGGAACGGGAGGGGATCAGTTGTCGCCAGGTGAGTGTAATCACATTATCACATAATTTGCGATTACAGTTATCTATCTGCGCGCAAGAACACAGAACAGAACCGAGTGAAATATGCATCTGTAGTATGTTGTGAGCCTTTGAGGAGAACATTGATGGTTGTACTCTGATGATTCGTAATTCACCTTGCTATGGAAAATCTACAACACACCATTCTTGTATCTCACACGAAATATTGAGAGCGTTAGGTAAGAAAAGAACCTTAGCGTAAAAGAAAAAAAAGTTTTTCAGAGATGTCGAGCAAATGGAAGGACCTGCGGGACGACACTTGTGATGTCACAAGTCTACCACTTACTAACAATCCTGTACACGTCTTGTGCCCAGCCCCCACCAGTTCCTCTTACACATTTGGTCGAAGTTCCGTACTTTTTGTACGTCACACGAGCCAGCGGTCCTGACCAGCATTCCCCTCCATACTGCACTCCAAACACTAAGTACCCAGCACTCTTTGCGGCCTGCGCACATCTCTGAGTAGCATTGCTATCAAACCTCCAGTTGCCAAGCATTTCTGGCATGGCTCGTGTACGATTGTCTTGAAAACATCCAAGGTGGAAAAAGTTGACTGCCGGAAATAAAGGCACAGCAGTTTTCTAAGCATTCGCTCTTAAACTGGCGATTTATAGGACTGCAATGCGTAAAGTAATCGATTTTCCCTAGAAGACAGACTGTTTTTTTTTAAATTTTTTTTTTAAATCTAGGTGGGTCAATCTTGTATCAACCGTTTTTTCCTGTTTTGAAAGCGCTGCGGAGTTGGTTTTCTTTAACATTTCGGCGCAAAAAAAACTTGTTGAGGCAAAAATTAAATGAAGGAATACTCCGAAAGCAAGGTAACAGGGAGTTCCTCTTCTATGCTGCCATTAGTCACCAAAGAAATTTCCTTTGGACAGATAATGTAATCCTTGCAGGTGATTTCGTTTAGGTATCATTTTAGTACAGATGTCCTTTCTTTCAGGCAAGCGGAAGACACCTGGTTGAAACACAAGGGCTGCTATGAAATCATGCAATACAGCCATTTTCAGTATTGTTTTCTTTCAAAACAGCCAATGGATTATGCGTATCAATCTTAGTTGGCACTAAACGTTTTAATCTCGGAGAATAACAACAATAACTAGGCGAGAATGGAAGATTACCCAACACAGACATTTAAGACAACTTAGAGCAGAGATGCTAAGACCTTTCAGATGCTTCAAAAAAGTGTCAAAGACTGTTATTCAGGAGGACTGAAATACTGTTTTCAAGTCATTAGTTTCCATTATGGCTTTCATAGTTACTAAAAACACATCAAAAACTAAAACCTTAGATAAGCAAAAATTTGAGCCTAGAATTTCATTTTAAGGGGAGTGGGGTGGGTCAGGCAATAGAAAAATTACCATAATAGTAGATGTACACATTGTTTCATTCTTAAAATTTAAAAAGTCCTTGTGGTATGGTAGCGGTAGTAGCAAAAACAGCACAGGAGTATGTTTTCAATTTTGCTTCGGATTTTTCTGCCTAATATGTATGTTTACTTTCTGTCAGTCGTGAGAAAAGTCAGGGTACTAATGACCTCATCGTTCATGACGCGACGTCTCACAAACATGAAAGCACGGCTCAGGAAGTAAAATTTATTTGATCAGTTAATGTAAATTGTTGTTATTCCTTTTATCAAAGTAAGAACTAAAATATTTTTCAGCTACACTGTACAGTTATCGTGATCAAACATTTTGACATACAAAAATTTTAAAAATGCTTACAATGAACCAAATAATGACATTGCCAAACGCTAATGGTCGGCACAATCTGTAAGGAGAGACGTTAATTTATATGCGTTTTCGATATGCTCCATCGACGCGGCTTTTAAAATTTTTACATTCAATGAATGTCACTTCTAGAATATTCATTGCTTTGTTTTTAGTCTCTAAAATTAACGCTTACCCAACCCGTTAATTCAGACAAGCGGCTCTAATGAATTCTAGCATGTTATGTAAGATTTACCGACTTTGCGAAAATCGCATCGTCACGAAGGACCAAAATGAAAAAATCGCTATTCTCACTGACAAATTTTGAGGAGTAATAATCAATAGATCGAGCAAAATATTGTATGGAGTCACGTACGATGAATGAAGTTTACATAATCACAGGCATGAGAGACTGAAATTTCACAATATACTAATGCTACATGATTCGTCGATAATAGTATTAATTGCGATTTTCTTTTAGTAGTGAGCTATAATAACTAACTAACCCATCAGAAAATTACGAGTGAAACCTCTGGCATAACTTTTTAGTCAAACATTTCACGATATTAGCATGAACTCAGTTCTTTGTTTACATCACGCATGGAATCACTCCTGAATTAAATAAGCCGCAGAGTTAAAATGAATCAGAGCGGTTTCTGAACGCAAAACATGTAAATAAAAGAATTTGTTCCCCGTATCATTTATTACCAATCTTACACAAGCCTTTTCATGTCAAGAACCAAAACAGAGTATTGCAAAACTACAGAAGTAAAAACAAACAGCGATAACGCTCACGAATGCTAACGCAGCAATACGTATTCACGCCGGCGAAGTAGTTCGTTTGCTGATGTATGGCTATTGGAAACAACTACTAGAGAAATCTTTTATAACAATGTAGTTATTTCTTCCATGGTAAGACAATCTCCCATAGCGGGGGGGATTCATTGGTCGAACATTATCAAATACTTATGTTCGTACAAGTACATCAATAAATTCTTACTAACCTGAGGTCGATCGTGTTTGAATAAAGAAGAACGTTAACAAAGTTGAAGACAACACAAATGTTCTTTTATCGTACATCCTCTGTATCCTGATGATCCTGATCAAGTGAACGATGAGAATTCAAGTTTCAGTCCTTCTCGCTTTGAAACGTTCTTTATTCTATGGGGTTATTCCAGACCAGTTTTGTCAAAAAGCTTGACTGAACACGCCTCATACACTCTCCGTCACGACTAAGATGTCTCCTTCTCTCTATGCAGATGATCTGTACAAAATTTCAGATCAAACAGACGATATTAGTAATTGCAGGCGAATTGGAGACAAATGAACGCCTCTTGACCCGCCGGGACATGACCAACTCGGAGCGAGTCCATAGGATATTTTTGTTTTTATAACGCAAGGGATCTGGACACTACGAATTGCGTGACTAAGTTCGTTTGCGTGCAAAAGAAGTTCAAAATCTTAAAAGATTTTAAGGGTAAAGCTATATCCTCTCACCTTATAGTCAAAGTTGATCGTTTTGATATTTTATAGTAATCAATAATATCTTTAGAAAAACAGCGTCATTGGAAAGGAAACTTCTAGACAATTTTCAGCACTTAGTCGCATCTTAAAAATTAACATTTGGTTTCGCATCGGAGATTTTACGTCACTGTAAAAAACGTGGGAATGTTTACAAAGGTTTCGATGCACGTTTTCCTTATTCAACAAGTAAACATTTAAAAAATAAATCTATCAAGAACCTTCTGACAAAGACGGCTTTCAAAGTCCGGAAATTCTTGCTTGAACTCGAAATAGAAATTTTTTAAGTTGAGCGATGTTTCTAAGTTTCCGGCTTCGTAGCCAAAGATTTCACTGGCTCTCGAAAAATTACGGCAAAAATTAGAATTTTCATCGATGGAAATATTGATTATAAAACATCTATTTGGTATGTTTGACTTATCACTTAAAGATATCGCAAAAGATTTGGCGACACATAAGCTCCAAGACGCGAATGAAAATATCCTTTTTCAGAAACTTGGAACCGGAACCGGAAATTCAAAACCATATTTGGTATCAACCAACAGTTTGTCGAGTCATTTCAAGGGCCTCTGTTATTGAAAAAATGAATGAAAATTATATCAGATATATTTTTTCTAGTGTTTCACGTGTAAAACTCTGTGGATTAAAATTAAAATATAAATTTCGGAGAGAAAACTTTCAAAAGTTAACAGTTTTGTATCAAGCGAAACTACTTGTGACGTCATGCGTGACATCTTGTCGAAATTTTGTTTTGAACAGTAGGGCGGAAACAAATTACGTGGCCTTGAAATTTCGCTGTCGATGATAACATGCAGTTTTATTGTTTTGATAGTAGATTATCTTTTGCATGCCTAATCTTTATTCTATCAGAAAAGAAAACGATAAGAATGAACTGAGACGGAAAAAATTATTACAGGAAGTCGATGAACAAGAAAGTTGCCTTGCTTTCCACGACCAACAACGACCAAGCAGTTGTGTGAAACTAGGAGTTTTTAAGTTTGATACCCAAAATTTCATTAATTGTGGCTTAAAACAGCATAATTCGACAATGAAAACTTAAAAAATATATACTTTTGAGGCGATTAATTTGCGAAAAATCAATAATACTTTGAGCATCCATTTGTCAAACAAAAAAGATCTTAATTTGAACTTGGTGTGAAAGGAATAAGGAAACTGAAAGAACGAGCAGAACTTTTCAAAATTCCTATAAAGCAGTATCTTTTTCATCTTCTTACGAATCGAGAACTCCGCTTTGAAGAAATCAGAGAACGCAAGGAAGTTACTGCAAAGAGAATGAGAGGCAATTTATTTTAAGTTTAAACATCTAGATGCCGAAGCTTACCCGCGCTTGAGAAAACGTATTAACAGTTGAAACTCATTATGAAAATAGTAAGCCATCATAATTAAAATTTACATCTCTATTCTTGGACGACATACCTTATACTATCCAGCGACGTTAACTTCCTTTGGTTGCTATGCTATCTGAAACCTCTGGGAAACCTTGACTCTTCGACTGTCTTTACTGAAAAATGAAACCATATAGATTTATGTAGATATCCGTAAACCTTGCCGCTGCTTCGAACGACGTACTTGAAACGCACTTGTGAACTGTCACACAGTTTAAGGAGTGGCCGACAAACGTCATAGTCTATATTTGGGAGCTAGTGTCAAAAAGATTTGCCTAGAAAATTTATTGCTATTGAAAACTGTCAGGCATGAAATTAAGGCCACGAATCCTGAGAAAACAGAATAATAATTTGCTTTAATTGCAACACACGAGGAAAAGTAATAAAAATCGTTCAGTTTTCCAATGGCAGGTTTTCAGCAACTAAAATACCATTTCTTTCTCACCAGCAATTGACGTATTTTCGCGTCAAATTTGTCAGGGTGAAAACGGAAAATCACTCAGACAGATTTTCCTTCTTAGACAACAGTTTATACACATGAAGGTCTATTTTGGTTCTCAAAATCTTCGGTTTGTAACAATTCTTTACATTTTTTTTAATCCTAAAACTTCTTTAACAATTGGTTTTTGGTATTTACAATGAAAAAGGGGGATTTCGGTTGCTATATATGTTTACTTTTAAATGAAATTTGGTCGATTTTCCGGCTTTCTCTTTCTTTAAATAAATAATTTGGTTTTCGTTTACTGTGTCATTAGATCATAGGCTCTATGGTTACTGGCATGATTTATTTGCGAAAATTTTTCAGTTTCGATGTAAATTTTAACCAGTTTCCCTGTTTCTAATGGACTCACAAACCCCATTTAGCGAGGACGAAAGGTAATTGAGTCGGATGATTAAATTTTCATCGCCCCTTCAAGTGACCCGAGTTGAAACTTCCTACTTGCAATGATCTTATTACGAGACAGGGTAATAACTTCTGCAACGCTGGGAAATAGAAAGATATGTATCTTTTACCGTCATCAGTAAAAAATATAGATGTTCAGCCTTGAAGCTGGTTTTGGCGGTATCTCGAACTGCCAGGATGTCCCCAATGCTTTAACGCCATCAGTCAGGTTGGCGTGAAACACAAGAAGCTAATATAATAATGTGGTATTGTGCTCGTTAAGTTCTCCCTTAATGGAACCTGGAATATGTCAATCATTAAAAGCACTTTATCCATCTCTGGGTCCTATAAAATATCAGGAGTGCAAAAACTTGCTCTGGTCACCAGAAGGTTTTTTCCCATCGGAATTATACGAGTCCTCCATGCCTTTAGCATATCAAGGAAATCGACCGTACCAGTTGGAAAAATCAACCTGCTGTTTGGTAATATCCGCTCAAAATTAATTCATGTCACGATTTTCGTTGTCCTCTCTAACCTCCAGAAACTATATTTTAGCGGAACTTAATCACAATTACCTTAGTAATACTCATTTTTGCGGGAATAAATTTTTCGCGATTTTCAAAAAATCGCGAAATGAAAGACCTGCTTGTAAAAAATTTTCGCGAAAATTAACCACGCTTAGTTAATGCAATACCCCGCTCTATAATTTTTTAATGTTAACGACATAACAGTCTTTTCTACGTTCCCTCCTCAAGTTTCGTCACGAGAGTTCTTGCTGCAGTTCCTGCAAGATATTCCTGTATGTTTCAGCAGTCGTCAAACAATCCATGCCTATCTAGCTCCTTGTAATGGAACATGTCAAACTGTTTTCAGTTTCGTCATGTTATGAAATGGTTTTGTTTAGTGTCATTGGAAACTATTGTTATGGAAAATTAAAATGCGTGGAGCCAAATCTGAAAATAACTGTTTGTTATCGCAGATCACCATTCTGACAATTTTCGCGAAACTTAATTCCTTCTAACATACATTTTTGGCAGAATCGCTAAATTAAACGCGGTCCCGCGAGATGTGCCGTTTTTGCACAAAAGGGTATCACGTATACATGCGTAGGCAGTAGACAGGAATTAAAACTTACTCTTAGCCCTGACGACCATTTAGGGGCATTCGTTTTTTATCTGATTATCCAAAATTACGGCAATTTCCCGTTTCAACGAGATTTGAAAAATTTAAAACAAAACAAAAATAAAATCCATGATAATTGTTATCTGGGGATTTTTGCAAGATTTCGGACGGTATAGGTTAAGCTCTCTGACGTATATTTAAGGAAGACTACGGAACCTTCACTGGAAGAAGAATGGGGAAAAATAGTTGACTGATGTAAAACGGAGACCTTCAATGGCTTTTACGGCATATCCGGCAGAGGGATGGGTTAAACTGCTTAAGCTGATGTATTCTCCCTGTCTAGTCTGAAGCCGGTCGCACACAAACTGCAAAGTCATCCAGAGAGAGGATATCGTGCGGGAAGGGAGACTTGTTGTTGTTGCCAAATTCGCCTTTTGAGCTGAAAAAATGAATCGTCAACTTTATTTTTAGTAAAAGAGAAGTGACGGCAGATAGAACAGAGTTGTACAAACTGTGGGATAACTGGATTGTGTTGCTTTATGCCTTACACCAGAACTGACTGATTCTTAGCACGTTGTTTTGTCCGATTTACAGTGAAAATTCGAATCGCGTTCCTAGCATCCTCTCATTAGGAAGCGAAACTCCCTCTTTGTTGAGAGCAATGTTACACTTTTATCTTCATGGAAAATTTTTGTTTGAGTTTATCAAGGTCTTCATTTACGAGTACCGAAAAGACAAAACCTAGAGTAATCATGACGGCCAATCAGAAGAAGGGAGTATACCACATAGAGCCAATGAAAACGCAGTGAAAAGGCGAGCAAAGCGTTAGTTTTGCATTTGATTGAGAGTATATATGGTGCGAGTTTTCTTAACCAATCACAGGGCAAAGAAAAGCATAACCAATGCAATCCGGATTATTATCGACTCTAAATTGAGAATTTCTCTAATCTTTGTTTCTTCGCGTCTCTTTTTGCTTGTTTCGTGTATTTTGAGTTTTATTACTCGCCAATAAATTAAAAGTAATTTGAACTGGGCAAAAATGACTTGAAATGCGGGGACTAAAAGGAATTGTTTAGTTGATACTCTCATACAAATTGAGATAAATTTGACTGGAAATACTCGAACAGAGAGTTTCTCACTTAATCAAACTGGTCTGATGAGTTAAGACTTCAATTCCAGTGAGTTCCTGTGAGTATTATCCTAAAATAAATAGTAATCTGTCTTGCTTGTCGCTTGCGCTTAATAACAAAGCTTGTTAAATCAGAATCCCACTGTTTCTGTATATTTCTAAGGGGAAACGTGGACGACGGGCTATATTTTCTGGCTCTCTGTTCCTAAAGGAAATATTGTTGATTTTATGTTAATCTGTGCCTGTTGAAGACGCTTCATTTTTGTTTTATTGGATCACACGCGGATAGCGCGTCTAAATACAACCGGCGTAACCAAAGGGAAATAAAAACGTAAGACCTCTAACTCACCGAAAGAAGCCCAAACCAACTTTGTTCCGAATTTGAGAAAAAGGGCTGAATTT